AAAAAGAAAAGGTGCGCTTCAAATACAGTCAATGTACCAAAAAATTTCACTCAAATGTCATCTTTAATTACATTTAAAGTAAGGAGGGGCTATCAGACAAAATATCCTTATATAATTCATACACTAGACGGCAATGTACAATAAATGTATATTGTATAGTGCATCATTTAGGACACAACTCCTGTTACTGTGTTAGACCATACTGTGAAGTTTTTAGTCAGATACATTTCAGTTTTTGTATCGTGGCTCCTTTTTCAGCAGGTTTTTTGACATATTTTCAGAAAGAGAGGAGCAATTTTTTTCTGTTGAACAGGAGAGAAATCACATATGGGATTTCTTTAACACCTAGAAAGCAATGAGATTAAATAGAGAGCAAATTGAGACTCTTGTTTACAGTATTGCTTCTGCTGGTTTTTCTCCAATAATCGCACATCTCAACAATTTTGCAAACTGTGCTCAGATTTGCCAAGATACTAAAATCTGCATTAAAAAGTCAAAAAATCTCAAAATCAACTCGAACTTTTTTCATCAAACTCTTAAAATCAAATAATCTAATCTGCTATCCACATTCAATTTGTCTTGCATGTCACTAATTTGACATGTTTGTTTCTTCGTGGGAACAGAGTTGGACAAATTGAGCATTACATCACTTGATCACCAACAGTGAATGGGTGCCATCAGAATGAGAGTCCAAACAGCTGATAAAAACATCACAATAATCCACAAGTAATCCACATTACTCCAGCCCATCAATTAACATCTTGCGAAGCAAAAAGCTATGTTTGTAAGAAACAAATCCAGCATTAGGAGTTAGGACCTTTTAACTTTAAACTGAACTGTCATTTCTGAGTCCATATCCAAATTAATGCTTCTTCCAGTGAAAAAGTTCATCCCCTGTTTTAGATCGTTTTCATCTGTGCATATTTCTCTCCTGAGATTTATTTCTTACAAACACACAACTTTTCGCTTCACAAGACGTTAATTGATGGACTGGAGTGGTGTGGATTACTTGTGGATTATTGTGATGTTTTTATCAGCTGTTTGGACTCTCATTCTGACGGCACCCATTCACTGCATTGGATCCATTGGTGAGCAACTGATGTAATCCTACATTTCTCATCATTTCGCAAAACTCTCTACATATTGGATGGCCTGAGGGTGAGTAAATTTTCAGCAAATTTTCATTTTTGTCTGAACTATACCTAGTTGTAACAGTACTAGTTAGCAGGGTTAGTAAGTCACTGTGATTCCCCTCAGCAGCTAGAGATAATTCTGGTAAAGTCTCAGTGGGGGTGGGAAGGAGACAGACACTAATTCCGTCTTTCCTAATCCTCCATTCTGCAAGTCTTCTACGGTCATTGACAGAGTCCAGTACAACACAAGCTAACAATTTTAGCTCTCTATCACACTCATAAACCCCTGAATATGGGAGAGGGATTGTCAGCACAGTGGTAATCGTGATTTAAATACATATCCATAAACCTGTGGAGACAACGGGAGAATGTAAGACAACCAAGACGGGACAGAAGTCAAGATGGGTGAAGCTCCAAAGGTACGTTTGTCACTTTCTCTGTGTTGGTATCACCACCTAGTATATTTGTGATCAGAAAGCCCAGAATAAACTATTCAATAATTGTCTTTGCTAGATACAGTCATTTACACATTAATTTAATGGACATGCAATTATACATTTGAAATGTAAGTTAATTTGGATTCAGCGTCTGACAAATGTGTAAGCATAGTATGTTCAGTAATCTGGATAAATGTTGTACTCTTAAGGTGTGAGTTCAATCTAGTCTGTTCTGGGATGATTAGTATCGTCTTATAGAAAGAAAGGGGCCTAAGCAATCAGCGATAGGTCACGTGACCCAGATAAATCTCATTACTATAAGCCTTAACCACATGAATGGGGCCTGGCAGACTGATCTGTGCATTACCCTGAGAAACTGCATCTGATAACGGTGCAATAGTCAACAATTGGAATGCTAACTTAAACTGCAGCTTTCTTAAATACATGCTTCCTATACATACATGCCTAGAGGAAATTTGCTAAAACAAAGCACCATTAGCTTAATCTGTGCTTGAGAAAATACTCCTGCATGCTAGTTTCCTTACTGTTTAAAGAAGTAGAACATTAGTATTATTGCATTTTTATTAGGCAATTTTGCATTTGATTTAAAAGTGTTATCTAGACAAGAATCACTATTATTACTCATACGGGGGCTAGGGATTTAAATAATCCAGTGTTATTTTAGTATGATTAAGAAACTTTATAGTTTTAATAATATTTTTGTTTATTCAAATTTTTGTTCAGGTTTTAGTAAATTTGTTGTTTTGTAAGTTTTATTAATTTCTTTCATTTTTTATTTATTATGACTACATAGCATTTATCAATTGTATCTCTTTATTTATTTTAGTACTTTAATAAGCTAAACAAAAATGATAGAAATGACTAGCTGAAATAAAAACCATTTGTTTTTAACAAGTTTAATTTTTTATGTTATTTCAGTTAAATGTCAACATTTGAGTAATAACCCTAAAATATACCTCTAAATAAATAATTGATCAAACCACACTTTTATAAGCAATAGATTTACATTTTTGGCTGGAAAATGCCGACACATTGACTCCCAGACCATTCCGGAAATGTTAGTTTGTGGCTTTAAATAATAAAATCTATCAAGAAGTGTTCCTAATAAGTAGCAACATAACAAGTATCATTAATAAACCATGGTGCTAGCGATGCAAAGATACCTCAAATGCGATGTAATTTGCTTTGAATAAAAGTCAAATGCATAAACGTGAATGTAAGAATGTTCCTAAAAACATTAGAAACTGTTAATGGTAAAAAGTTATAAAAATAACACAATTTAATCAGGTTCAAAACATTTCCTGTTGTTGTTGGCAAAAAGTAAACATTTTAACAATATAAACTTAGTATGCTTGAATAATGTGTGTGTTTGTGCTTTTTAGGGTTTGCTCTCTGTGATGCAGAAGCTAAAGGGATCCGCAGAGCTGGAGCTCAGGATAGTTCTGCTGGGTCTGGACAACGCTGGTAAAACCACACTGCTCAAGTGTCTCGCCTCGGAGGACGTGAACACCATCACACCAACACAGGTGAGTCTAAACAAAACCAGCCCTGCTGAAAAGCCCAACATGAGCCGGCAGGTTTAGCCTTGTGGAGATCTTCTAGTTTGCAGCTTATCCTGACCAAGAAATGCTCACTTAAACAAGAAGAGACCATCTGACTGGCATCAAGTTTTGAAACTACAGTATCCTAACTGAAATAGTACCTCATACGTTAGCGATTTGGAACACTTCTTTAAAAATAAAGGGTTCACAGCAATGCCTTAGAAGAACCATTTTTGGTTCTCAAAAGAACCTTCAAGCTCTTAAAATAACCTTTTTTTTTCTTAGTGTGATCATTAGTTATTTCATAAAGCAATATTTGGTAACACTTTATTTTGTGTCCTTGTTACACGTTACACGTACTTACTATTGTAATAATAAATTATGCATAATTACATGCCAGTAAAACTAAGCCGAACCCTAATTCTAACCCTAGTAAGTACATGTAGCTAATTAATATTACTCAGTACTTATATAATTACACTGTAAGGACACCTTAAAATAAAGTGTAACCCAATTTTTAATTGAGATATTAGTACATATAAGTGAATGTATAAGTGTTACCAATACTATTGTATCAAATTACATATTGTTTGATTTGCAAATGATACAAGTTATTTTGGGTGATGTTGACCAGTAAGATGTTTCCAGGGCTTTAACATCAAAAGCGTTGCCTCTCATGGGATGAAACTGAACGTGTGGGACATCGGCGGACAGAGAAAGATCCGTCCTTTTTGGAAAAAATACCTAGAAAACACAGATTTATTGGTGAGAAGCGACTGCATTCACGATACCGATTTTTTGTGTCAACTGTCACTATTTGCTATGCTAATAAACACGAGATGTTTGGTGGTTCATCTGCAGGTTTATGTCATAGACAGCGCTGACAAGAAGCGGTTTGAGGAAACAGGATTGGTAAGGCCGGAAATCACATGCAAATACAATTCCTAGAATCTTCCCACAGGACAAAGGTTGTTTCTTTGTTACTTGTATATGTTAGTGGTGAACTGTGTTCAATTACACAATAAAACATGGTACAACATATTAGCCTACAGTGGGGTCCAAAAGTCTGACACCTTATTGAAAATGTACAATTTCTGTCATTTAAACCCATAAATAAACATACAATTTTAGGATCTTGTACATTTTAAAGCAAAACAAGTTTAATCTAGGCTATCTATCTATGATGTAATCGGTGTAAACTGTAAACAGCTTGGCAACAACACATCACATAATGTTACATTTACAAGATAGAATGGCAGGATTTGACTACAGACTTGTGGAGGCCACTGAATATTGTGACCTAAATTTGAATGCTGGTGTTACATGCATGTCTGTAGGAGCTGTCAGAGCTGACAGATGAGGAAAATCTCGCAGGCGTTCCCATTCTCATCTTTGCGAATAAGCAGGATCTAGGTACGGCGTCTCTGGCCAGCGAGATCGCCGAGGGTTTGAACCTGCACACATACAGAGACCGAGTCTGGCAGATCCAGGCCTGTTCGGCGGTCACAGGAGAGGGTGTGCAGGTGAGGGACAGCAGGGTAACTAGTATCACAATGGTGGCCAAAATTATTAGAACACCAGTATTTTCACCAGCTAAAAATTAAGTCAGTTATTTCTATCTTTTGCTGCATAGTGTGTCAGTAGGAAATATCCGTTTACATTTCCAAACATTCATTTTTCAAAACAGAATTCATTGTTCTAATAATTTTGGCCACCACTGTATATCTAATTACATTATAGCAGCCTGAGGGGTGAAAACTGCATACCAGGTACAGCCATCATCTAAATCTTCCTATATTTTCTCGGTGTATTTTCAGGACGGTATGAATTGGATCTGTAACAACCTCGTCAACAGGAAGAAATGAACCTTTCTGCCATATAACACCTCGTCGACTGAACAAGCATATAACAACACCCGTGCGATAACAGCATGATTTCCATGTAATCAGTACAATAAGCTCAAAGGGCTCTAAAGGTGTTCGCATTTTCCTTTAAATATACTGTTTGTATGTAAAAGAATAATTGGTTTTATTTTTAAACACTTGCCTTTAGTGTCTCCGTTTAGTATTTTATGCACTCATTTTAAATTTTACAATTTGCATATACTGTGTATGAACTAGAGACAGAGTTTAGAAAAGCAATTAGAAATGGGGTGCATTCTACAGACAGACATCTCTCACAAACAATAATTGCATACTATTTTGTTTGAGTAGGCCTGTTTTCAAATAAATCATGGTATTGCACTGTACTTTCGAACTGGCTGTTGGCAATTAGTGGATCATCAGAGAAGATTTTGTCTTGGTGTCTGTTCTTGTTTTCCTTAGAATAGCAAATTAATCAAATAAATAAACACATTTACTGTACATATCAAAGTAACTTATTACCAGTGTTGGGGGTAACTCATTACAAGTAATG